AGTTAATGCTTTGTTGTGGTTATTAAATCAGTTAAAAGGCCTTTAAAATAAGCCAAAACAAGCTATGAGTCATTAGTAAGAACACATTTTGGTTTGTCAAGTTGTGTAAAATCCCACCAGCAGCTGTTTTTCGTTTCTGTAAATAATGCTGTTCTAAATGCTGGTAATAATAACTGCTTGTGGGTTTCTCATTTTTTGATAAGTCTGTGGTTATAAGTGTTAATTGGCTATTAGGTTAAATCTTTCACATATTTGCACTATATGCAATATACTAAATGCATCGTATGGCTTTAATTACAGACAGGAAACAGGTCCAAGTTCAGTTTATGACTCCTATAATGCAACTACACTGGTACAATGTCTCTGAAGTGCCAAGGTACCAGTATGGTATATACCATAGTGTGTAATAGCTTTCAATAGTATAACATATGGAGGGCCTGGAACAAAGTGACCAAAAAAAAAAAAAAAAGAATTAATACCTACAAGGAAACAGTGTGATATTTCAAATAGTCAGTAGTCACTCAGTCATTAAGTTCACATAGCCTGTAAAACCTACTTTAGAAACCAGCAGTCAAACCAGAAATTCCTGCCATACTGCCAAAACGCTCTAGCACTGCTGTTCCAGGTAATTTGACCTGCAGTTAAGAGATGTATATTATTAAACCTGCAATAACAGTGCAGCATTAATTTCCACAGTGAAAGTCCAACAATTCTCTTTTAAATCTGTTTTTAGTCTCTACCAACTCTTGAGGAACACATTTGGCTTTTTAGCTGCTAAATCCTCCACTGTGTTAACCAGATAGTTACTAACTCTGTCAGTCTGCCCTTTAGTAGTGTACAGTAAGTATTTGGAGCTTCTCCTCTGAAAACAGCACTCTGAATGATACTCTGAGAGCAGTGAGAGTGAACCAAAACATGAAACTGTGCTCTGGACAACTAAATAATCAGCTAAAAACTCACAGTTAAGCATGTAAATCATCTGTTCTGTTTACCAAATCTATATGAAGTATATAATGAGCGTCTACATGCCATTAAAATGAGCCAGACTAATTTTTGTGCTAATGTTATTCATGTCTCTCCTGCCAAAGTCAGTGAAAATGTGTCGTTTCCTTTGACAATATGTTGCCCTCCTTCAAACTGCTGAACTACATTTCCCATTTGCCTCCAGTGTTTGTGATGAGAAAGTAAGTCAACACCACCCTGCCTGATCTGGTTGTAACACACCTCTCTCGTTACAGCTGTTCTTTGTAAGCAAGCAAATTCTGGAATTTTCCTGATGTATCAAATACATGCAACACTGTCCCTTCCCCTTTATATTTTATCTTAAAAAGCAGATGTACACGGTGAATTTGATACTCTTTTACATTCATTCATTTTTTGTTTTATCGCAGCTTTTGCTCTGGGGTCTAACAGAGATAATCTCTATTAACTTAATTTTAGGGAGTGCTTTCAATAAAATACAGCAAACATACATTGTTACTATCACAACCGTTATAATCTATAAGAGTAAATTATCAGTCTAACTCATTAACTTCTGCTTTCTAATGATGTTTTTGTAAAAGACATGACCTCCTAAGCCAATACAAGTAACACTGTCCTAACATAAAAAATAAATACAAAATAAGTACAAAAGCAAACTGGTAACAGCATCACAATGCATTTCTACATCTGTTACGCACACAGCTACACATTAATCCCACCCTTATGAAAAACCAATGACAAGATGATAGCACTGACCTACAACAACCCTTTAAAAACTCTTGGGATTTTATTTTCAGTCAGTTCTTACACAGGTATCAAGCCTCTTTAGTAACACCAGCACTGATGAAACAGCAACTGTTTTAAGTATTTCAATTCATGGTTTTGCCTGAGAAGCATTTCCTTTTTGTATATAACATTGTCATTAATATCCACAAAAGAGTATAAAAGCAGAACCTGATACAATAACATATTTCATTTGCGGTCTGCTCAAATATTAGTGACCACAGTTCAGTACTACTGATCTATTCTTGTCAGTGTTGTGAAAATCCTACCTGCCAGAGTAGAACAGCTGAGCTGAGACCTCTACTTCACCTACATGTCCCAGCTGACAACAAAGAGCAGAAAACACTCATCTTCTTCCCTGGTGGGCTGGTCAGTCAACTGCAGCAGCGTTTGGTAAGAGGAGGCAGGGACGAGGCTCACCGTATCAACTTACCTGTCTGCCCAGGATAATGGTTCCTTCTTCAATCGTCTTGAATTATTCACCTATGGATGAGGTGGTGTGTGTGTTGTGTGTAGTGTGTGTGTGTGTGTGTGTTGTGTGTGTTGCTGCATAGGTCAAATGGCAGAAAGTGGTTTGATCACATTGTTGTATATCTTGTACTTAAGATGTAATCTATTTATTAAATGTATACTGGCACTTCTTTGGTTATGTCATTTAAAGGTAGGCAAATAAGAGACACACCTTAGAAAATACACTTTTGAAAGGAGCAGTGCCCCCTTTGCCAACCTTGACTGAATGGAATATTTCATAAACAACAGACTGTGGCTTCAAAAGTGTCATCTGAGTTGAATCATCACCTTCATATAATATAATATATATATAAT